ATCTTAATTAGAAGGCAGTTTTAAAAGTAACTTTTCATAGTTGTAGATAAGCATCCAACGTGTTGGCATGATTATGGTTTTCAATTCTTGACACCAAGTCGCTTGGTTCTGGAAAATTTTGCGTAGTAAGAATTTCTGCAGTAATTGAGATTGAAATAATCCTTTTTAAAGGCAATGAAAAAGGTTTATGTTGCTGCTTTCCTTTATGAAATAAATTAGATGTAACTTGAGCAAATAGCATTTGTAAAGTTAATCAGAAGTAAATAAAAGATCTTTATACAGTCTAATAATAGCAAACAAGCTCCAATTATCAATAATCCAATTGCGGAAGTATTCTTATCATCATTGGGAATATCAACGATATCTTGGCAATGTCAGAGGTCAAAAATATCATGTACCTAATTATTTATTAAAATGCTATTTGCACAATACTTGTGCAATGGCGATTTCTTTCAGGCTACCTTAGGGTAAAACAGAGAGAAATAATGGTAGGTGCATCAGCTACAAGAGAGGTTGTTAACAATTTATAGCCAATTATTAAAAGTATTTGCCCTAGAGTAGGGAATTTCTTGCAAATATTATAAGGTACATTGAAGCGAATCTGCCGTGGCCACATTGTTTGATAGCTTTTTTTCAAAAAATATTAGAAGTTGGTAATGGTTCTTACCAGAAATTTCAAGTATAGAAGACTTGCACAGCGATAGTTAGCGTAAAAGAAAAGGTTGAAACAAGAATGTGTGGTAGATCATAACTCACACACGTTTGAACAATCAAGACCATCGCTTTTCTTTCTGAGATTCTATGACCGAAAACGAGCATACGGATTACCTAATGGTAAGCAATCAGCGCCGCCCATGGACATCCGCAACAGAAGAGTTACGAGTGCGTTGCCAAACCTTTGGGGACTAGAGATTTGGAGATACGGGGATTGGGGAGGGATTGAAGGAGGGGAAGGTTTGAGCTTCCTTACCGCCTTCCTTAGCGACCTTACTCACACTTTCCTGTGAGGCCGTGGTATCACTCCGGTCGAGTTCCCACGCTTATATAACCAGAAAAAACCAGAACGCAATATACAACGGCCTCATCTTTATTATATTTGTACATTTCAATGACGTTGCATCCAGTGTTATGACAATTTCATTGAGGATATACGCATAGCATAGATAAAAGGAATATATTACGCAGTCATTTCTAAAACGAGACGAAAAACTGCGCAGCGAATTTACGAAAGATAAGAAATTTTTTGTCCAAATATGGGTCACATAGCTTATCAATATTTTGAACAATGTTATTGTTTTAATTGTTAGTATTATTTTTAGTTTCTGTTTATTGTCTTGTCTTGTGTGTTTTTATATAAAAATAGCGAATGATAAACTGTTCATTGCAAAGTTATAAGCACAAAGAGTTTTGTTTTCTTTTAGGTTTTTTGTTTCAATTTATTTCATTCTCTGTGCGTCTAAATTCTACAGTCGTTGACTATTCTTTTGATCAACCTTTGTTTAATGTGTTTTGTCTCGACCTATCCATTTATTAAGGAAGATTATAGGCTATAAAACATCACGCTACGATCTGTAGGAGCAGAGTAGTAGGTGAAACCGCGCGAGAGTGGCTATCATCAAATGACTTCTCCCGCCCATGGTAAGGCGAAAGCGGTTGTCAGACTCTTACTGACTAAAAACCCTCTCCGTTCATTCTCCTGCTCTGAGCCGTGGCCGTGGTGACTCTTTGCGCTTAACCTGCAACCCCGGCTGAACACCAGGCGTGTAGGGCCCCGTCTGTGGTGGCCTATTGGCTCATTGAGGCGTGCGCGGAACGCTACGCGCCTTACGCACGGGTCTGGTTCTGGTCGGGCAGCGAGCTACCCTTACTCGCCGTCCGCAGATCCGCGCTTACGGTGGCCGGAGATCATCTCACGAAATACATGCGTTCTTATTTTAGTTTTATTTTAACACTGTAAATAGTTTTTTATGTAATAGATCGGCAAACGAGCAGACGGATTACCTGATGGTAAGCAATCAGCGCCGCCCATGATGTTATATGTGATGTTACGAGTGCGTTGCCGATCTTTTAGGGATTGGGAGATTTAGGAATTGAGGAGAGAATGGGGAACACACAACGCTGTGGTTGTTTCACGCCGGTTTTCTGTGAGGCCGTGGTATCACTCCGGTCACCCATTCGTGCCGAAGCATGGCTCTCCCACACTTTCTGTTTTTGTAAATAACATAATTGTAAATAGGTATTATTCTTAGGTTTTTATTATTTTACTATGAAGAGGTTAACCATAAGACTGATATACGAATCGATATTACTAGAAAATCTATGATACGAGTATAATAAATGAGTGTCCTTGTCACAAATATTCTATTTGTTTGTTGTTTTTACGTTGCAGTGGAAAATTATTAAAAGTAAATGAGTAGCGAGTAATGTTTTTGTTGTAAACAAACTTTCCGTGATCGCATTATAAGACAAACAAATATTTGGTTTCTGATTGTGAAATAACGCCCTTTTGTGTTGATGTTCTCGACCCCTTCTGAATAAATGTTACATCTTTAATCGAGCAATTTTTTTATGTATATCTACTGGATCTCGGAAACTGCTGCAATGGTTTCGACGAGATTTTATATGTAGGGGTTTTATGGACAAAAACATTCTAGCTAGGTTTCATTTTCAGGAAACAAAAATACGTTCGTCCATGTACGTACTTCTATCTAGTATGGAAAGTTGGCAGAAAGCGAGAAGCAGTAGGCATCTTCATGTTTTCTTGCCAATTCTGTTGTAATACGAAAAACAAGATTTAAGATAAGTATATTGGAATATTGACCTAGATTGAAAAAGCAAAGTTCTAAGTAAAATGACTTTAATCAATGTTTATTTCTTAAATTCCACATCCATTATTCGCCCTTTGATACACACCATGTAATTAGTGTTATCGATAACCTCTACATGTCGGAAATATATATGTTTAACTGCTAGGAACTGGTTCCTTCGATCAATAATTCTTTCTCAGTTTATTTCTTATTGGAAAGTGATATTGTTGATAAAAAAGTAATAAATTCGTTCTCGTCGGTAGGGTTGTACATAATTTAATTAATCTTATATCTAAAAATGGATCGCAAAATGTGTTGGTAAGCGCATAACTCAACAACGGCTGAACAAATTATGCTAATTCTTTTTTTTGTTATGTTCCTTATTAAGTGTGGGAGAGCCATGCTTCGGCACGAATGGGTCGGCTCGACTGAAGTGATACCACGGCCTCACAGAAAATCGGCGTGAAATAACCACAGCGTTGTGTTTCGCCGTGTGAGTGAGGCTACCGGAGGCCCAATCCTTCCCCTCCCCCAATCCCTCCTAAATCCCTAAATCTCCCAATCCCTAATCCCTAAAAGGTCGGCAACGCACTCGTAACTCCTCCGTTGCGAGTGTCCATGGGCGGCGCTGATTGCTTACCATCAGGTAATCTGTCTGCTCGTTTGCCGACCTATTACATAAAAAAAAAATGTGAAGGTTCTTACGAAAGAAAACTTTAGAAAGGTATAGGGGAATATCGGGAATTAACAATCCTTTCGAAGCTGTAGCCGTTTGCTTAAAAAAACAAATGACTGACGGGGTAGTCGGATACCCACCCGTGCGAAGCAAGGGCGGTCCGTTAGTCTTGAATAAAAAAAATTAAAGTAGTACTTTAATAATGTATATGTAATAATAAATTTAAGTGTGGGAGAGCCATGCTTCAGCACGAATGGTCGGTTTGACCGGAGTGATACCACGGCCTCCCAGAAAACCGGCGTGAAACAACCACAGCGTTGTGTTTCGCCGTGTGAGTGAGGTTACCGGAGGCCCAATCCTTCCCCTTCCCGGACCCTTCCCCAATCCCTAAATCTCCAAATCCCTAATCCCTAAAAGGTCGGCAACGCACTCGTAACTCCTCCGTTGTGGGTGTCCATGGGCGGCGTTGATTGCTTACCATCAGGTAATCCGTCTGCTCGTTTGCCGACTTATAACATTAAAAAAATATATTAATATAGGCGAGAGAAGTAGTTTGATGATTTTACCGTCACAATAAAAAGTTACAATAAAGAATCACTACTTTATAGTCAAACAACTCCCTGCATATTTATGTAAGAAGCTTGATTGTCAAAAAGATACGCTTGGCAACCCTATTACTCAAGTTATCTGTAGAAATATTCCATTCATACCCACTCTGGATCGTTTGTTTACTCGGACCAATATCTCTAGGAATTGGACTTATCTTGTGCTTTCAACTTGCTAATTAATTGTTATTGTGGACGAAAATGGTCTTTATTGCAATTTGGTGATAGTATGAAATTAATGAAGTACCTACATATTTGGAAATGCAATTGCTAAACACCATGTATTTGTCGCGTTCTGGTTGAACCAATTATAATTTCAGTCCTATCGGACTTTTGAATCTTTAAAAACGTTGAAGTGTTTTCAGAAATATTAAAATCTATACTAATAATTATAAAGAGGTAGAATGTTTAAGTTTGTATGTAGTGGGTAATATTTGGAACCGGTGGTCGGATTGCCAAAATTCTTTCACTGATAGTTACTACAGTATTCCGGAGTGCTATAGGCTATAAAACATCTACGATCAAATGGAGCCGAGCAGCGGGTAAAACCGCGCGAGAGTAGCTAGTCTCTAATAATGGAGTTCCTTGCTCGTTCTTTCTTCCATAAGAATCTTCACTTTGGAACGAGTGAATAGGACTCAGCAATTTGAACGTAGCAATTTGGACTAAAGAACAAACAGACTGACACACATAAAGTGGAACTTTATTATATTTTGTTTTGTTTGATATTCAAAAATGCCTATACTGGTCTATTTCAAATAAATGTTTTGACTTTACTGGTTCAGTTTCAAAACCTTAATCTTCGTTGTATGCTATCAAAATGTGTTCAGCGATTTAGACACGTTAAGCACAAAATATTCTTTTACACAACAACATAGCATTTTAAGTAACCTTCTTCTTGTTTGGTTTCAGGTCTAAGACAGAAGCAGGAGCTTCGTGAGGTGGTCCCAAATGCTTCCAGAAGGAGAGGGAACTCAGCAGCTCAGGAGGAGACTAAGCTCAATATGGAGAAATGCCTCATCGTCTCCAAGGTTACCAGATATGAATATGAGAGGTAGGTTTCTTATTATTCAATATGAGTGTGATTTGTTTTATGATGAAGGACGGCTTCGGTTGAGAAGTAGCTCATGTGTAATTCTAGACTATAGTCTATCTTTGTGCCAAATAACATCTAAATCCAATCAGTAGTATTCTACTTAAAGGGTTACAAACGTCCATGTTTATGATATAAGTAAATTTATTGACTTTAATATTTGAGGTTATTACTTTTGAACAAAAAATCTGTAAATGTATTGTATTCGTTTTCTTCTTCTCTAATAATATTTTCTGTTTTATTTCGTTGCGGAATTTAAGACAGTTATTCAACTATTTGTCTCAGAGACGCCTCGGACTATTTCGGCCTTTTCATGGATGTGCCTACTGTACATTCTGGTTTACATGATTTGTAGCAGTGTTGGAAGGATGTTGAGGGCTTTTCCTAAAAAAATATCGCCATTTTTTGTCGATTATGGCAGACTCTCTTGTGTAAAGGATTAGTGATTTGATAATGACAACACAAACACCCTATGTCATAATAGGAATGATGACAGGATTTAAAAACAAAAAACTATATAGTACGTACTATATAGATTTTTTGTTTACTTCGATATCTTTTTAACTTTCGCGTTTCATGTTAACATAATAGTGACTGTACCGTTCAATCTGGCAGACTGAACGGTACAGTCACTATTATGTTACCTGGTTGCCACAACCTGGTTGGTGGCAACCGTGGTCGCAGACTCAGTCTGCGACCACGTCCTGGCAACCAGGTCGAAACGTTAAGCCTTCCAAGGTGTTTAGCCGGGGTTGCGGGATAAGCGCAATGAGGCACCGCGACCTCGGTCCAGAGCAGGAGAAGGAACGGGGTGGTTTTTAGTCAGTAAGAGCCTGACACTCCCTCCCTCCCTACCCTGGGCGGGACAAGTCATTTGCTGATTTTCGCCTAACAAAAAAAACAAGCCTTCCAAGGTATTCAAATAATTACTTTTCGCTTTTGTTAATACCCGCGCGTAATTATACTTGTATTATGTTACTTCGATAAGTCATTAGATATGTGTTTTTAGACAAAATTATAAATGATTATAAAATGAACTGCCTACACTCGCGCGGTTCAATTGCTGTTAGGCTCTCTTTGATAGTAGCGTGATGTTTTATAGCCTATGGCACTCAAGAACATTGTAGCTATCTATCGGTGAATGAAATTTGGCAATCCGAATAGCGGTTCCAAAGATTACCACCAACTTACAAATTTTACCTCTTTATAATCTGTAAGATAAAAATGAATCGCGAAATGTTTTGGTAAGCGAATAAATCAATAACGACTGGACCAAATATGCTGATTGTTTTTTGTTACGTTATTTTTATGTGAAGGTTCTTACGAAAGAGAACTTAAGAAAAGTGAAGGGGAATATCGGGAATTAACAATCTTTTCGGTGCTGTGGCCGTTTGCTAAAAAAACAAATGACTGACGGGGTAGGCGGATACCTACTCGTGCGAAGCAGGGGCAGTCCGCTAGCATTAGTATAGATTTGAATTTGCAACGTTACTGCTCAGTATAGATAGAATGTACTAAATCGTGATACGCAAGATATTTCAAATCAATATACCATCGAATGGTTCCGGTTCCCTTAGAAAATAAAACATCATTGTTTTATGCTACCAAATACCCTGTCTATAGGCGGAACTCCGGTATATAGGCGATTAGTTCACCATTCAATACAACACTAATTAAGAGTTAGTAAGAACTAGTAATTATGAGTAAATACAAGTACAAATTACAGTACTCAACTGGTATTTTATCACTGTACGTTTATCACACAGACAGCGGGTCAAATAGTCTAACTGGTAATATTTAGACGTTACAATTAATTGCTATTTGTTATGTAATGTTTGGTGATATTGTTGTATGTTATGTTTTTTGAATGATGGTATTGAATTTTCATTGTAATGTGCGAATGAAATGTTTTAAAAGATTTTTTTTATTTGGTGCTAGCGGCCCGTTCTGAGTTGGCACGTATAGTGAAAGAAGAAATTCGGTCATTGGTTTTTTTATGTAATAGATCGGCAAACGAGCAGACGGATTACTTAATGGCAAGCAATCAATACCGCCCTTGGACAACGGAGGAGTAACGAGTGCGTTGCCGACCTTTTGGGATTAGGGTTTTGGAGATTAAGGGATTGGGGAGGGATCGGGGGAGGGGAAGGATTGTGCCTCCGGTAACCTCATTCACACGACGAAACACAACGCTGTGGCTGTTTCACGCCGGTTTTCTGTGAGGCTCGATCTGGTATCACTCCGGTCGAGCCGACCCATTCGTGCCGAAGCATGGCTCTCCCACACTTATATTAATTATGGTTTGCGGACGGTTTTTTATTTTGAGACCCATATTTAAGTGGCGAGTTCCGACGGCCATAAAAACACATGGTCTGGGACTTGTGGAGCGCCATCTCGAGTTCCAACTGGCAAATCCTTGCAACGACTGTCGTAACCGCTTGTGACATCAGGTCGGCCGCCGTCTGATGCGATTTCCCGTTCGCCAGCACAAGCATGTCGTCGGCGTACCAAAGTATGCTGACGCCGATCGGGAAGTCAACAAAACTGTGATTGTTTCACGCCGGTTTTCTGTGAGGCCGTGGTATCACTTCGGTCGAGCCGACCCATTCGTGCCGAAGCATGGCTCTCCCACACTTATCTTATTTCTTTTTAAACCCATTACACAATTTTTAGTGTACGATTCGAAGTTCACGGTGACAAAAACTCGAAGTCAGTGGTGTTGCTTATTTGATAAAATAGGATAATAATTGTCTGTCACTGTCATAAATACTTGTTGCTGTAATTACATTTAAAACTGGTTTTGCAATAAAAATAAAGCGGTTGTAAATGCCAGTAATAATACCAGTTCAAATCGAGTTTATTTTCTTATAAATAATGCGTCGGTTTGGTACTCGATGTAAGTTGATAAAAGTGCATTTAGGTTTTAAAACCTTGCCTTCTTTCTGCCTATTATATATTATGTATCCTGGCTTTGTTTGTGTTCTTTTTTTGTCTTCTCCGCTTAATTTAAATAAATCTTTGTAACAATAATGATCACAACAAAAGAAATTCTATCTTATGTGGTTCAGTTATTTGTGAGTTATGCTTGACCACACTATGTTTTAACATTTCGGATATTAATTTTTACTAACAGATATTCTGTAAGCAGGTAAAAATCTTTAGATTAACTCTAAATGTATAGTTATTCTTCCACTATATTACATGGTTTGTAAAAAAGGTCAGCCCGATCAATATAACTGTTCGGACTGTACATAAAATGTTTTTATAATAACTATCGTGAGACATACTAAATTAACTACGCGCAGCCTACTGGTCGCCGCGTCCGCGCACGCTGCTCATGAGGAAGAACCCCTCTGTGGTTTGAAACTAGTAGAGCTTTTCTCAATATATACACGTGAGTAACCCGCGATTTTTAGTTAATGTACATAAAATATGTAAAAAATCCGGTAAAAGCGACATCTTTAGACCAATCTCCCAAATCCCCTTCCCTTACAACTGTTGCTGATTTTGCAGTTATCTGTGGGCGATGTCAATTCCTCAACATAAGTTGCTTAGCTCGATTGACTTTTTGATCGTTGTTTTATGAGACAAGAATATGGGGTTATCACATAAAAAAACCACAAAAGAGGTTCTTACATAGGTACTAATAAAAAATTCCTAATTCTTGAAGGTATTATAAAGCCAATATGACAACCTATCTGTAAAAAATATATATTTGAAACTATAAATATTAATGTTTATAGTTGTAATCTGTGTTTATTTTTAGCACACTATCTAAGAATAGCTCATTCTTAGTACATTGGACGTTGTTTTTCATATTGTATAGCACGCTATTTGTGTTCAGTTTTACTCTAATGTCTTATTGCAAAACCATAGGTATCCATCTGTCAATGTTAGTTAAGCTACTCTTATATTGAACCAAATTAGGGTTACATCTTTAAGATTTTTTATATGACAGGGACGCTTCACAACGTCTTGACGGTAGTAGGTAACACTCCGTGTGTCAGGGATTGAGAGACGATCTCCTGCCACCGTCAGCGCGGGCCTGCGTACGGCGAGTAAGGGTAGCTCGAACCGAACCAGACCCGAGCGCACGGTGCGTAGCGTTCCGCGTGCGCCTCAAAGAGCCAATACCCCACCACAGACGGGGCCCTATAGGGCTGATGCTTAGCCGGGGTTGCGGGGTAAGCGCAATGAGGCACCGCGACCTCGGCCCAGAGCAGGAGAAGGAACGGGGGAGGGCGAGGGGTTAGTCAGTATGATTTTGACACTTCTTCTGACAAAAAAAAACACTATTTGCCGGTAAGCAATCTGAGGTTGCAAAAGCAAGCGTAATAATTTAGAGAGATGTAAAGATTTACAACAGTATTATGATCTGTTTTACGCTTCTGTATTTTCAGACTTCTGACTAGCGGGAACAACTGTTGAACAAACAATATATGTTAGTATGTCATTAAACCATTTCAATATCAATGGAAAATTACAAAGTTTATCAAAGAAATAAAAATAATTATCTTACGAATGCAAAAACTACAGATAATGCTGTATAATGTGGTTGTTTTACTTGGAGTCGGTGATAAGCAAAAGATAACCGTATTATGTGATTATAAGAGCTTGTTTTCAAACATCACGCGGTGGCTGCTTATACAGGGTGTCCTTGGAAATATGAATGAAAGAAAAAAGCTATCGATTTTAATAAAATAATATTCAGTTGATTTTTGTTTTGACCATGCCCAATACATCCACCAATCTCTCCCCAATCCCTATATATCCGAAACCCTAATCTCTAAAAGGTCGACAACGCTTTCGTAATTCCTCTGGTGTTACGAGTGTCTATGGACGGCGCCGAACATCAGGTAATCCGTCTGCTCGTTAGCCCTGTCATATAAACAAAAAATACAGGCAAAATCTATATAACTGAATATGGTAACTAGGTCTTTACTTATGAAATTGCCGTTTTGCAAGAAAAAAATTAAACGAATTTTTTTATTTGAAATGCGATGAAAATGTAACACAAATCAATAAACAAATGACTTCTTTTGGAAAAAGAATCCCATGTTTTTAAAACAAAATTAATTAGCCTTAGCCTAACAAAAATTATTTTGATTTGAAATGGCCAGTACTGCAGAATGGCAATTTCACAGGTAAAGACTATTATAACAGGACACAACGACAGAAGAAGGGATGGAGTGGTTTTTAAATCAGTAAAGCGTTTGGTAATTGGTTATTTTCCTTCAGCCAAAAAGGGGTGTCAAGTCACTAGATCAATTCTATTTCTCTAATAAACATTAGACCAGAAAATACAAATAAGATAGCAATAATAAATATTGACATTTCTTGGCTATTTATAATCTTTTATTTACTCGTACTAAGTCATACACGAGTATAGAGCGTTGGTTCCAGAGCCACGAATGGGCAGGCTCAATTGGAGTATTACCACGGCCTCACCGAAAAATGGCATAAACATTTTTTTCTTTTTTTGTTTGGGAAAATTGTCCAATGACGACGGTTTCAGGTGTCTGTTGGCCGCGCCGATTTGCTTACCATCCGATCATCCGGTTATCCGTCAGCTCGTTTGCCTACTAATCCAACAAAAAAGTTTAATTTCTTAGCCCAAAGTACTTACAGATTTTTCAGAAGAGCTGAGAGCTCTGTTCCTATAAAAAAAACTAGGTTTTTATATTAACGTAATCCATTTTTCTGTAGTTATTTAGCGATGCCTGGGCAACCGGCTTCCGTGGACGTCTCGCAGGTTCGATACCCGCACGAAACTCTTTGTGATCCGCTTCTTGTCATTCTGGATCTGGATGTGACGTGTTTATGCGAATACATGTTTGTAAATGCACTTTATTCAAAAATGTATGCCAAATACACACAAAAAATACGATGAAATGAACTGAACAGGTACGACCTATAAACCTTCAAGAAGTTCAAGAAATTCAAATTTCGTAGGTAACGCACAAGTGCTACTATTTGGTATGTATATTGTATACATTCTGAACTGACCAGTTTTCGTCAGATAATACGTTCCAAAATTAGCAAAATGTCTCAGGGTCAAGTTCCGGGTGGCGAGTAAGGGTAGCTCGCCGCCTGACCAGAACCAGACACGAGCATACATCGCGTAGCCTTCCGCGCGCGCCTCAAAGAACTAATAGACCACCACAGACGGGGCCCTATAGGGCTGCTGTTTAGCTGGGGTTGCGAGGTAAGCGCAACAAGGCACCGCGACCTAGAGCAGGAGAAGGAACGGAGAGTTTTTAGAAATAAGGGTCTACTCTCTCTCGCCTGACCCTGGGCGGGAGAAGGCATTTGATTAATTTCCCCTCACAAAAAACTTCTTCTTCTTGTAACTATAGTCAATTAATGAAACAATGAATTTTTTTTATGTGATAGGACGGCAAACGAATTGACGGATTACCTGATGGTAAGCAATCGGCGTCGCCCATGGACACCCGCAACAAAGAAGGAGTTACGAGTGCGTTGCCGACCTTTTAAGGATTGGGATTTTGGGATTGGGAAGGGATTGGGGTAGGGGAAGGATTGGGCCTCCGGTAACCTCACTCACACGGCGAAACACAACGTTGTGGTTGTTTCACGCCGGTTTCCTGTGTTTTTTTTTTCAAATAGTCCATAACGGCCCTTTTACACGTCAATTTATATGTGACAAACTAGATGAAGCCGGCATTTCCTAACTGACTACTCTGAGAAGAAATGCCGAAACAAACTCAGAGGTCAGTCTCTTTTCAAGTCAAAAGTTCAGTTCAGTTTCTAGTCAAAGTTAATAAAATCGTTCTAGATAAAAGCGGTATCATTGTTATCAGTAATGTTATTTCAAGTAAATCTCAATGAACATTGCAAACATACTATGTGTGCAGAAATAACGTTGGAACGGGAAATACAAACTTCGTTTATACGCATTTGTATTGTCACATGTTTATTCAATATCACACTTTACTTATATAAGGGATTGGCAGATGTGTTAATTATAATTTATTTATTTATTGAATTATGGACAACCAGTAGCTGCTACATTATTTCTTACATCTAAACATTAAATACACTATAATAAAATTAAATGTACAGCATTTTAAGGTGTCACAACATGCACAAAATATTTAGTAGTGACACAAAAAATAATTAATAACAAAAGAAGAATATAATTTAAAATAGTAGGAAGAGTAATAAAATAGAAATTGCAAAAATTACGATTCTGAATTAAATTAAAATAAAATAAGTACTTATATATAAAACAAAAACATTTTTTTTTATAATATCAGAACTAGCGATCCTTTCCAGCTTCGAACGGGTGCAAATGCTAATACAAGAAAAAAAAACTATATAAAATATATATTTATTACCGAGGGAAGTGGAAAAAATACCTAATATTTTCTGATTATTTCGTTGCGGGATCCAAGACAGTCGTTCATGTGCCTGGGACGCGCCGGACATCAGTGTTCCGGTGTTTTCATGGTTGTATCTACTGTAGATACTGGCTTGCAGGAGTTGTAGCGGTTTTTGGGAGGTTGCGGAGGGCTTGTCCCACAAAAGACCTTGAATTGAAAAATATGCCGAATTGAGAAGCTCCCTCGTTTTTGGAAGGCGGTTATAAATTCTTTACCATTTAGGTAGCTAATGGTTTGACGAATTAAACCTTATCCTCCTTATTACAAAACAAGATTTATCTTTAGTCCAGGTTTAAACCATTGAGTCGGGTTTTGAATTTTGAATCTTATTGTCATCTTCCTTTAATTCGAAATACGAAAACTGGCTCAATGGTTTAGTCCTAGACTAAAGTAAAACCTTGTTTTGTAATAAGGCCGTATATGAGCCGACCCATTCGTGCCGAAACTTGGCTCTCCAACACTAACATATAAAAATACATATTCTACTTTGCCCTAAATATCATTGGAATGCTTTATTTTATCTTGTAAATTTCAACGTAAAAATGCGTTTTTCACTATGACGTTAAGATATAGGTACTTAGGAAAGCAAAACATTATCTTTATAATTATACACGCGTAGTGAAAGTTAATACCTAAGTACATATTAAACATATTCTCTATTTACCGTCAGTGTCACTTAAAACCTTAGTCACTATGATATAAGGTACAAAATCCTACAGTATTGTGTACGTGACATACGTCATTGTTTAGATAATGTTTTCATCAGATCATATAGTTTGTTTTTCTCATATGAATATGGTTATTTTTATTATACGTATTATTCATTAATATTTTTATGTAGGTCGGCCAATGAGCCGGTGCATTACCTGATGGTAAGCAATCAGCGTCGGCCTTGGACACTCATATTACCAAACGAGTTATAACAAGTGCGTTGCCGATCTCTTGTGGGTTATATTAGGGATTTAAGGATTGATGGATGGGGGAGGGGTAGTGATTGGGCCTACGGTAACCTAGCTCACACGGCGAAAGACAACGCTGTGGTTGTTTCACGCCGGTTTTCATACGCCGGTATCACTCCGGTCGTGCCGACTCACTCGTGCCGGAGCTTGGCTCTCCCACACTTTGCAGCACTTTGCTTCACACGATCTTCCTCTATATTATTCTGTCGTTGGCGCTGTGATGGGCAGTATGGAACGTGAATCGTCGGTATATAAAACAGTGCGGATCTGATCGGTTCAAGATATTGAGCTGTGATCAAGAAACACAATAAGAATCTCAAAGTTCTTTCATCTTTTAGTAAACTGCTATTATTCAATCGAATAATATACATTAAAATTCTTCATAATTAAAAAAAATTACGTGTATGAACATCATCAACAGGCCTTGGGACTCCTTATCACGTATGAGGATTTGCCTTAATCTCCACGTGAAAAGTTCTGATAAACATGGACATCTCCATATGATTCCTAGATCGGCCGATTGAAGACGACTTGCGCGCTGCCACTTTCTTTTTTTAAACACTAGGCTTTTCTATGTGTAGTGGGTGCGTTTACAAACCTGCAAATTCACATACACAAGCAACCCGGACCAGAAACAGCAATTTGTGGATCATACAAAGCGTTGTGCGGAAATCGAACCCGCGACATGTCTGCAACCGTGCAGTCTTTTTGTCGCCAAATGACAGACTATTTTGTTTTGTCATGTAATAAAATGTATTGTCCCTTTTTTCAGACACAGTCACGAGAACCTATCAGAATCTGAACTGGAGAAAGTCTTAAGGAAACGAGGTTCCGATTACGACTCCATGATGAGGATACACAAGCAACAGAAGGCGTTTGAAGAGAATGTGGCGAAGAGTCTCAGAGATATGGGTCTTAAAGTTGAGATGGCTAGCAGGTAAACACTTTTATTTCTTTATTAATCGTTTAAAATAGCTTTTGCCTGCGACTTTTTCGCGTGGAATAATGACAGCAGACGGCAGATTTGTGGTTTAAAAACAATCCTATGTCCTTTCTCGAGTTCCAAATTTCACACAAATAGGTTCAGTAGTTTAGGCGTGAGGAAAAGACAGACAGACAGACAGTTACTTTCGCATTTATAATATTAGTTTGGATAAAGAACCATTGGTATACGGTGAAGGTACAAATCGCGAAGAAATCTAGACTTATATTTATTTTTTAATTTTTTTAATTGAAAATAGTTAGTCCTATACTTCTCTCTTTAAAAACCACTCCATTCCATCTTCTGTTCCGGGTTAGGTTGAGGTATGTCATTAGTCATTGCACGTGCCACAACCTTGGCCGGGGTTATTAGGTCTTTTTATTTGTTTGTCAGGGGAAAATCATCAATTGACTTCTCCCGCCCAGGGTAAGGCGAGAAAGAGTGTCAGACTCTTACTGACTAAAAACCCCCCCGTTCCTTCACCTGCTCTGGGCCGAGGCCGCGGTGACTCATTGCGCTTAAGCCGCAACCCCAGCTGGTTATTAAATAAATTCTTCTTGAAGGACGATGTTGTAATCTTCTGTATTTATCTTCTAGATTGACATATAACGACGATATAATAAATTGGTGCGACGTGGTGGTGCCGTGTGGTGGGGATGGTACCTTCCTTCTAGCAGCTTCTAGAGTCAGAGACGCCAAGTAAGTAGAATAAGCTTATTAGAACTGCCTTCAAATGTTATATTCGAAGCCAGTCTTGTCGAAGTCAGTGTATGAAATTGAAATAATTTAGTTGTGTCTAGAAGGAGAATGATTGATTACTGTAGCTCTACTATCCGTTAATTAATAGTAATTTCATAATTAGTGTTTCTGTTGTATTTTTTAAATATAATTAGTCTGTAATCCTTACATAAAATTTATTAAAAAAGGTAAATGTTTGAACTCGATTAGTTTCAAGCCACACTGGGGCTCATACATATATACTCTACATGGTTGCATCTGTATTGATTTAATTAATGGGCAATTAAATACTGCAGGCAACAATTATACATAGAAATTAAAAAAAAAACGTCCTTTATACATTGCCTGCAATTGTGTTTCCATCCGGTTATGATTGAGGTATCTTCAAGGCTAGAGTGAATAGGCTCTAGTGCGCCTTACCATCAACGATTGCATCACTGCTTACCATCAGGTGGGATTGCAGTCAAGCACTAGTTTATATGATTTAATAAACGATTTTATTTCTCTGTCCACAGTAAACCAGTGATAGGTTTTAACAGTTCGCCACAGAAGTCAGTTGGACGTCTCTGCCTACCCACCTGGTGTTCCAACGACGTGAAGGGTGCGTTCCAGGCGTTAAAGGAGGTTGGTACTCTATTCCTGTTATGGAATAACAGATTCTACCCTGTTCATCATGATCATCGTCATCAAAGTAGATTCTAAAAAACGGTTCATTAGAAATTAGGATATTGTACTAGTGATGTCGTGGTGGTCCGGAGGTAAAGGAGCCCGCTTCTCATGCAGGAGGGTTTAGGTTCGAACCCTGGCAAGTACCAAAGTGACTTTTCCCGAGTTATATGTATTTCCATGATTATTTAGACACCACTGACATACGGTGAAGGTAAACATCGTGAGGAAACCTGGACTTGTAATTTCTAGTTATAAGTCTGAAATCGCCAACCCGCGTTGAGCAAGCGTGGTGCTCTAACCTTCTCCGTATGAGAAGAGGCCTTTGCTCAGCAGTGGGCACTTATAGGCTGATGATTATATTATATATAACCCTTAACTACTTTTTTGTATCTATATATTCACGCTTCATATTATATGTATCCCCAAAAACAAAACAAAAAAATGACGATTTTTTCCCCTTTGCCTTCTTCGATAAATCGAAATCGAATCAGTTGTTTCGGAGATAAGTGTGTTCAAACAAACAATCAAACAAAAATCTCTTCAACTTAATAATATTCGTATATTATGAACCGGTGATCCAATCCCTCCCCAATCCTTATCTTATCTTAATCCATATTCGTTATATATCGATTACCTGATGCTAAGCAATCGGCGCCGCCCATAGACAATTGCAACTTCAAATGTTAGCCAACCTATCTCTTAAAAAAATATGGATATGTATAAAAATTACTTAATTTAATATTGTACACGTGTGTTGCAGGGTAGGTTCAGATGGATGCGTCGTTCCCGGATACGTACAACAGTTACCTCTGAGCCGCAGCTGTTGGAAACCATCACGCCAGTAGACCTTCACACACTGCATTACTGCAGGTTTGTACTAAAAAAAGATAATTATTATTAACATAACTATTTTATAGCAGGCTTTTTTATAGAAGAGAATTTTATCCTAAACTAAAAATCCCCCGTTCCGAACCTAGGCCGCAGTGCCTCATTGCGCTTACTCTGCAAACCCGGCTTAACATTAGGCTCTTTGAGGCGTGCGCTGTACGCTCGGGTTTAGTTCTGGTCGGGCGGCGAGCTGCCCTTACTCGCCGTCCGCAGACCCGCGCTTACGGTGGCCGGAGATCGTCTCTCTATTCCCGACTTTCGGAGTATCGCCATCTTCGGCGACTGGGGTGTGAGAAGGAGGATTTGCTCACTCACGCGCTTCGCTTCCTTATTTGCTAGCATAACTGCTTCACAACAAGAAGAGACGGTTTTCCAGTTCGTCTAGCAATCTCAATAATGCACAATAAAGTATCACTGCTCCAGTTTGGAGCAAGAGGATTACAGTCAATGAGTCTTACACCTGCTAGTCTTTTTTTTATTTAATAGGTCGGCAAACGAGCTGATGGATTACCTGATGGTAAGCAATCAGCGCCGCCCATGGAGACCCGCAACTGAAGAGTAACGAGTGCGTTGCCGACCTTTTAGGGATTAGGGATTGAGGAGGGATCGGGGGGGATTGGGCCTCCGGTAACCTCACTCACACGGCGACCAATAGGCCAACCTAGGGTGGGAAAGTAACTAGATGATGCCTTCTCCCCTCAAGTCAAGGGAAGTCAGAGAGCCTGCGCCCAAATTACTATCGAACGTAATATCAGTACACTTGAAAGCTATCAAAGAGTTTATCGTTGATACCGGCTGCACGGTTGGTATAGTGGCTCGGCAACTGGCTGCGAAACTTGCGGATTCGATTCCTGATCGGAACAACTCTTTGTGTGATCCACAAATTGTTGTTTCGTGTCTGGCCTCGGCCTAGAGCAGGTGAAGGAACAGGGGGGTTTTTAGCCAGTAAGAGTCTGACACTTCCTCCCGTCCGGCCCTGGGTGGAAGAAGTCACTTGATGATTTTCCCCTCACAAAAAACCCACGACACGTGACTAAATCTAGTGTGGGCAATGTTTAAAAAAAAACAAAGAGAGTAGAGAACCGGAGCGTGTAAGAAAGGTCTTAGTTTTTTATTCCGACCTTAACATGAATTCTACTTCTTCCTAACCAGGTATCCCCCAGTACAGAACACACACGAGATGGTGGACGCCTATAACATCAATTCGCGACAAACAGCGAGCAACGCAAAGGAAGCGCCCGTCAGTCCGACGCTAGCTACTAAAGTGTTACCTTTCTTGGCACTTAATGAGGTGAGGATATCTTATATTTTACTTTATTTTATTCGCGAAACAAAAAAGTAAGTATAAAAATCCAATACAGTTTTACATTATGAATATACTCTTAGCGCCAAACCAATGACTGAAAAAAGTATTTTTTGCAGCGACTTTCCTTTTGATTATATTCTTTCCTGAAGACTTTCCTTATTTCCTTATATTGATGCGATTATGGGCCCCGGTGTAAGTTCGAAAATAGTTGAGGGTTCTCGAAAATTGTACTTAAACGGAAACCATTTTTTTAGACCTCTATATTGATGGAGAAGGTAATTTCTTATACAAAATTTTTTTATATTATGTGTTAATATATATTTCCAGGTATTTATAGGTGAGAGCGTGACATCACGCGTATCCCTCCTCCGGTTGCAGATAGACAATGGCGCCTGGTCACACACGAAGAGCTCGGGGCTCTGTGTCACTACCGGTACCGGAAGCACCTCGTGGCACTTCAGGTAATATTACAATTTAGAACATAAACTAACTTCCGCCCGCGGCTTCGCCCGCATGGTATGTTGATAAAAAGTAGCCTATGTCTCATTCCGGAGTATATCCTATGCTTGTGCCAAATTTCATCCAGATCCGTCCAGCCGTTTTGGCGTTATTGAGTAACAAACATCCAAACATCGTAACTTTCGCATTTATAATATTAGTTACTGTAACTGAATGGCTACCGCGTTGGTTAGCCAACCGGCAGCAGCTCAACCTGTCGCAGGTTCGATACCTTAGCACTACACTTGTGAGATCCATAAATTGTTGTTCCGGGTCTAGGTGTGATGTGAATTTGCATGTCTCGTCACTTTACGGAATAATATGCGACTTTTTTTTTCAATATAAAAACAAAACGATGCTCCTTATTATTCTATTAGATCTGTTCTTCTATCTCCTGTCAAAAGACCTCTTCTCATACGGAGAAGGTTTGAGTTTTAATCACCACACGAACATTATTCACGACACCTACTCAAGGCAGATTGTCGATTTCAAATTTATAATTGGTATATTTCTATTCCAGTATAAACTGTCTCCGGACACAATCAGTACAGGAGCTGATGAAGATCCTGCATGAGGAGTTCAAGGTACCACTGGACACAGCGCTCGAAAAGGCACGCGAGGTCACCGAGAAATATAACCAGAAACTCATGTTCGCTGCAGGTAATTTAAATAGAAATTTAAGTCTTTTTTTGTTTTTTTATGTAATAGGTTAGCAAACGAGCAGATGGATTACCTGATGGTAAGCAATCGGCGCCGCCCACCCGCAACGGAGGAGTTACGAGTGCGTTGCAGACGGTTTAGGGATTAGGGTTTTGGGGATTGGGCCTCCGGTAACCTCACTCACACGGCGAAACACAACGCTGTGGTTGATTCACGCCGGTTTACTGTGAGGCCGTGGTATAACTCCGGTCGAGCCAACAATTCGACCAAAAATTCGGGTTTTTTGAACTGAAAATGAACAGCAGAAATAATGAAAACAACATATTATTCCTTACAGATTCGGACCAGCTAGCGTATTCAGTGCGTGAGTACATCACATTCGAGGAGTGGCCCACTCCGCGAGGTCTCAAGGTCAGGGACAAGGCCAGTTCTGTCAAGGTCAAATCGCATTGCACTGATGCTGGTAAGTTGCATCTTATATAAAAATCAATGCTACTTTTCGTTGTAATGTTTTAACTCAACAATGTCTTTACTGATATGGCTAATTTTGGTCTTGAATTATTCGTCGTTCGGAAGTCCAGAAAAGGAAAACCTACGTAGAGAAAATTAAAAAAAAATCGTGTAGAGTCGACATCCACGCGGGTGGACTCGCTATCGACCGTTAGAATATTATAAAGACAACTACAGAATGAACTTGCGCGGTACAGTGTGTCAGACCTATCGCATAAAAGAGGGTATTTCAAAATTGAACCTTATTATTGAAACATTATTTTTAAGATTCTAATACCTTATTTTGTGAGATAGGCCTCTTTTCTGTTACGCAAACGCTACAATGCTTGTATTAGGAAGCTTCATTTGTTTTATTTTTATTACTGCACGGTTGGTGCGGTGACTGGGCAACTGGCTGCCGTGCAACGTGTCGCGGGTTCGATTCCTGCACTGAACAACTCTTTTTGTGATCCACAAATTGTTGTTCTAGGTCTGGGTGTCATGTGTATGTGAAATTTTATGTTTGTAACCGCACCCACGACTCGTTTGAACTTTGCACAGTAATTTTGTTTTATAGTAATAAAAATAAAACTATGAGTATAGAAATCAATAAAAAGGAGTAGAAGTATCGTAAAATCACAAAAAGGTTTTATTATTGTTTTCACTATTTTAATCCTAGGTAAAGAATAATATGGAATTTGGAAAGAGAATATAATTATTATTAATTGTTCCACAGGTCTAGTAATCGATGGCAGCGTATCATTTCCCTTCAACGACGGTACGGAAGCCATCTTGGAAATCCATCCAGAAGACTCACTGATGACGGTGCAGATGGACGATAAAAGACCTTAAAACAAACGGCTTAAAGCTTAGTTTAGAATGAATTTGGTAAAAAAATGTGTTTCGTTGAGAATACGGTAGTTTCCAACTAGTCAAATTCAATACTTATATCTAAATGGCAAAAACGATACTTTTCTATGAAATTTGTATGAAAAACTGAGTTATGACGTCATAGTATTTTTGCGTCAAATAGCTTACTTATTTCTTAATAATTAGCTAGAAAATATCTAAAACTTAGCGCATCGATCGATCGATGAATAAAAGTATAGTTATTTTTCAATATTTTATTGTATTGAAATGTCGAATCAATTTATTTTTGACCGAGGAAACTACCCAATTTAGTTTGATTACTACAAAATTGGATTGTCTGTCTGTCTTCAACTGGCACCATCTATGGACTGATGATGAATGATGATGGAATAGCGCCCTGTGTTTGGTTATAGGGATTATAACTGAGTTTTAGATAAAAAGTCACTGAAAACAAAACGGTAATGAGTTCTGAGTAGTAGCAAGGTTAAGTAGTAAACGGTCTTTCCCCTTATATTAAAGTTATTACCTGATGGTAAGCAATCTACGCCGCCCATGGACACCCGCAGCACCAGAGGAGTTACGAGTGCGTTTGCTCGCCTTTTGGGGATTAGGGTTTGGGAAGGAAAGGGATGGAGGAAGGGAAGGAATTGGGTCTCCGGTCACGACGAAACACAACGCTGTGGTTGTTTCACACCTATTTTCTATAAGGCCGTGGTATCAGTCCGGTTGAGCCGACCAAAGTGCCGAATAATATTGCTTGGGAAACGTGAAATATTATATCATAAGTAAATAAATTTTTGATGTGTATAGGGCGTAGCACAAAAAAAAAACACTTTTGTAATATTTAAGTTAGTACCCTCTACATTTCAAAAAATATTCCATTTGTTTTATATTTGTCTCCCCCTTAAAGGGATTAGAGGCGTGATGTTTTTTGTTGGCAAAAAAAGACATATCCAATGCCTGCAAGCTCAAACTTTTCGGTGAACATTTACCTAAAAAATCCTAATTTGCCAATACGCTCATCTCCTTTGAGATGTTACTTTTAACATTGTTAGTAAAAAGTGCCTCTAAGAGCTAATAGACCACCACAGACGGGGTCCTATAGGGCTGATGTTAAGCCAGGGTTGCGGGGTAAGCGCAATAAGGCACCGCGACCTTGGTTTAAAGCAGGAGAAGGAATGGGGGGGGGGGGTTTGGGGGATGGACAGGGGGGGGCTTGTCGATTATTATTGAATACCTTTAGGAGACAACCCTATGAAGATTTTATATATTATATATAATTATAATTAAGTAAATTATGTTTAAAAAAGTATTGAGAATTTTACCTTAGATGCCTGACATTTCTGTGATTATTCTATAAGTATGGCAACTAGATGTTATGTCATGTTATATACAGGGTGTTTGGTAAAACGAGTGATGTTATCATATTGACATTAAGCTATGAATAACCAGTAGAAATATGGTTAACTGGTTTTTTGTAGCTTAATTTGTAGTTTTTTTATCTTGTAGCCAATGTATTAATTATTAAAAAAATTACATGTTTGGACCTTTCACTGGTATTTCAGCTGTGTATCAACCTAATCTGGAGAAACTTATTGAAAAAAATATCGTCTAATTCCCGTTTAACCGAGCATCCTGTATATTATAATGTTACTTATAAATAAATATTTTATATTAACGTGTATTTATAATAAGTATAGCTTATCGTTAAGACTGAACGATTTAGATAATGTTAAGTTTTAAAATTGTGTAGATTTTGCTTTAAAATAATTAGGTCTCAGATTTGATTCCTAAAGTTTAGTTCACGCTAAGGCACGACGCAACGTTCCACGTACACTTTCACCTTCCAATCGTGGTTATTCGGGACACAATAGAATAATAAATATATAGGTGTGAACGCCGGCGTTCGCTTGGGATTTGGATCTATCTATCTATCTATTTGATCTAATTAAGCATTTACTAAAAAAAAACTTTATTCTTTTTACTATAACATTCGTGAGTCAAACTAAATTAATTATTATGTTTTCGGCTTATTCACGTAATTGTTTGACGAGATACTCGACTAGTTTCAAGCCATGCTAGAGGCCCATATTCATGAGCAGCATTCCGCGACACGCGACGCGGCGACTTTCGTCGAAATATGAAAATATAATAATTAACTTAATTCTTGATACAAGATAGGAATTTTAATGATATGCTTTCAGTTGTCTCTTACAGTATCGTCACGTCGCGTCTTGGCATGAATTGAACCTTATTGAACTAGTAATAGCAAAAAAAACCATGTGAACGTTATATGTAGACACACTCCTAATAAGGAACTATGCACAATAAAAATATGAGTAAAAATTATAACCTCTTTTTCTTTTTATACAAACTTTCACCGAAGATTTGTCACAGTTATTTGTAGAGATTCTTCCCCGATCCCTTAGGAATAGAAATGGCGAGGTCGTAGGTACTGCGGCCTCGGCCTAGAGCAGGAGAAGGAAAGGAAGGGTTTTTAGTCAGTAAGAGTCTGACACTTCCACTCGCCTTATCATGGGCGGAGAGAAGTTATTTGATGATTTTCCCCTCACAAAAAAGGGTATGCATGTTAAATGAACTTAATTGGTCAGTTAAATAATGAAAAAATATAAGACAAGTCAATATTTTTTGTCATATTGGAAGACATTTATTACGTAGGACGTTAAGTTACTGGTAGCTTACGTTGGCACCCAGGATAAATCGTGACTCACACGATCTTTTAAATAAATCATCGAGATTATTTGATTTCGTTCTAAAAGGAAAAAATCGGTTTCTTATGCTGGACATTAGTCTAAAAACAGACATTGAAAAAGTTTAGTCATCAACCTCATTGCCTGTCTGTCTGTCTATCGTTGAATTTAGTTATTTGTACAGAAATGTAGATTTGTATTGAGAAATCACTATTAGAGATTTAAAAAAAAATCTATGATTTTAAAATATCCTTTTAATTAAACCAATGTAATTAATTCGATAACATGGTTTACTTGGCGTTACTATCCTACATGGTCGACTAGTTTCGAACGTCACTTCGCATGATTATGAGACCCGATCATAGTTTGAAACTAGTCGAGCGAACTCGAACACTTTCGTGGTTTGGTTATATTTAGTCGATATTGTAGAAGGTCTCATGATAGTTATGTTATTTAAAAAATATATTAAATTGTAAAGTATAATTTTGTTCTTTTAATTGAGATATATTGTAATAAATTTACTTACCGTATTATAATTAATATTGGTATGTCGTTTTATATGGATTTTGTACTATATTGTATACACTGAGTATTTGGTGGAATGGCGAATATATACGTACAGATATAATTTGGCATTTTTATTATTACCTCCTTATTTTTTACCCTTTTGGACTACTGTATCTTGATCGAAGGTGCATAAGTTTTAGTGATTACAGAATAGTAATAAAAATAAATATGAAAAACTCTATAAGTCGCTCGACCTGTGCATGTTGTGATCGAACAAGTCTGAACTCGACCGAAAAAGTCGCTATGTGCAGTAAAACCCATGTTGGGCGCAATTTTGTTTCTACTTTTAATTTTTTTATGTAATATGTCGGCAAAGTGAGCAGACGGATTACCTGATGGTAAGCAATTAGCGCCGCCCATGGATACCCGCCACGGAGGAGTGACGAGTGAGTGCGTTGTCGAACTTTTAGGGATTAGTGTTTTAGAGATTTAGGGATTGGGAAGGCGAAGGATTGGGCCTCCGGTATCCTCACTAACACGGCGAAACACAACGCTGTGGTTGTTTCACGCCGGTTTTCTGTGAGGCCGTGGTATCACTCCGGTCGAGCCGACCCATTCGTGCCGAAGCTTGGCTCTCCCACAATTATAAAGTACACGGAATTAACAACTTTTAGCTATGTGAATTATAACACATAGCGTAAACATTAAATTAAACGTAAACATGTTATTGTAATAGATAGTTTCGTTCTTACACTACTAGGTTATCACTTTATTTTTAACCGACTTCAAAAAAGGAGGAGGTTCTCAATTCGACGAGTATTTTTTTTTTTTTTATGTATGTACACCGATTACTCGAAGACGCCTGGACCGATTTGCAAAATTTTTTTTTTGTTCGATAGGGTATACTCGCCATTTGGTCCCATTGTCATGAGGTCAGGACCTGATGATGGAATCCTGGAGAAACCGAGGGGAACTTTCGAAAATTGTAGGGGCAAGTAGGTTTTTTGTATGATGTTTAAGTAGGCCTTTAACAACACTACAACTTGACGAAGGTCGAAGTCGACCAGATGTTGGAGCTGGAAGACAGTCGAGGGATCTCCTTGACTATTTGGAGTAGTTGCCTTGTGTTTGGGCTTGAATGATTCGTATTGGCGAGCACTTTGCACCAGGCTTGGTCGTAACTGTCATTAAGGGTCTGATGATGAGAACGAAGGACTAACTACTTCGTGTTTGAACTTAATTCATTTATATTGATGAAAACTTTGCACCTGTATGGATTATAACAACTGAAGGTCTGCAGTGTGCCTGACGATGGAGACCATTGACAGTCGAGGGAATTCCTCAGCGATTCATAGCAGCTTCCTTGTGTTTGAGCTTAATTAATTCGTTTTGATAAGAACTTTACATCTAGATGGATTGTGACTGTCATTAGAAATCTGATGATGAAGACGAAGGACAGTCTAGGGAACACCTCAACGGTTTACAGTAGCGATCTCGTGTTTGGACTTAATTTATTTATATTGATAAGAAGTTTCCCTCTCCTAGAGAGGTGGCCTGTGACCCAGCAGTGGGAACATTAAAAAGGCTGATGATGATGATGATGATGAGAACTTTCCCATTTCTTGGGATCTATATTTTTTTAGAAATAAATAGAGCGGCTTCTTTCGCAGGCCTACACATAGCTACTTAAAAAAATATATACTGTTCAATATGTTAATTTATATTTAAAATGTTACTGTAGTTTACAGAAGAACTTGTAACAGACACTAAAAAGTAAAAAATAAAAAAAACTACGTTTAAAAAAACCGACTTCAAAAACAAAAAACTGTCAAATAATTAAAATAGATATTTTAATACCACTCTTACGTACGCGAAGCTAATACTTTTAATATTAATAATAAAACACTATCAATTATATGTGCTACCTATTCATAGGTTTGAAGTCGGTGCCAAGCCCTAAACATAATAAAACTAAATGAGAATTAAGACTGTTTAACCGCTAAAGGACGAAATTTCTACAACCAACAACGAAGCTACCTACTACTACTTTTAACAACCCACGAGTTACGTTTAGTACGAGAAAACTTTCAGAATTCATAATTCACCCGAATATCTTTCTGAGCTATATATAATTTCGCATGTAACGAAACAATATAGACTTCTGATTCTACGCTAAGGCCATCAATCAAATGCTTATTATATTATGTATTAGGCTTGGCACTGACTTTAAACCTCTGAATAGGTAGCACATAGAATTGATAGTGTTTTATTATTAATATTAAAAGTATTAGCTTCGCGTACGTAAGAGTGGTATTAAAATATCTATTTTAATTATTTGACAGTTTTTTGTTTTTGAAGTCGGTTTTTTTAAACGTAGTTTTTTTTATTTTTTACTTTTTTTAAGAATGCTGGTTACCTGTAATTGACTACTGTATAAGGCCAAAACCTAATGTTATCATTGTTTTATTTGATTTGCTATATACAGAAGCTGTTGGTACCTTTTTTAAATAAATAAATAAATAAACATAAGAAACTTTCTATGTGTGAATTTCATCTAGTTACGAAATATCAGTAAGAGAGTGACATGTGTCATGTCTCCCTCCCGCTTTACCCTGGGCGGGAGAAGTCATTTGATGATTTTACCCTCGTAAAAAAGACCCTTGTACGCTTGTACTGTTCTTGCTCGATTGATTGGGATATAATTTTTCAAAAGTTAGACGGGAAATGAAACAAATTTTAATCAGATCCATATTAAATTATTTACGGTCGAATTGACGTTCGGAAACTGCATAACGAGTTCTTTTGTATCTTTGCTCCTGACAATTACTGTAGCAGCAGACATCACCAGCTGTTTGCCATCCTGCAGAACGGTCAGTAGAGCTAAGTCCCCATTAACTACCGCGCATGATGAAATTCTAAAACAGATTCCCAGATGCAAAGCCAGATTGTTGTCGTTTTTTTAGGTGATGTGTTTTCTTTTTTACTTTTTACTTCTTGAGCGAAATAAGACTTCGGAAAGTTGCATGAGCGATGAGTGAATATAGCAATATTTAATACTGTATACATTTTGTGTTATTATTTTTATTTTATATTTCTTTTACTCGTAACCAATAACCAATCAGCTCCACCCATCACCCACATCAAAGGAGGAGGTACGAGTGTGTTGTTGGCGTTTTGGGGATTTAAAGACTGGGGGTGGGGAAGCGTTGGGCCTCTGGTAACCTCACTCACACGGTGAAAAACAATGTTAGTGTTAAAGATTTGTGGGTTTGGTGGGAGAGCCATACTTGCGCACGAATGAGTGAGAGAGAGAGATTGACACCACGGCCGCGAAGAAAACCGACGTGAAACACATCACAGCATTGTGCTTCGTCGTTTGAGTGAGGTTACGGAAGGCTCATGCTTCTTCCCATTCCCCTATCCATAAATCTCCGAAACCTTAATCCCTAAAAAAGGTCGGCAACCCACACGTAACTCCTCTGATGTTGCTTATGTCCATAGGCGGCTCTGATTGCTTACCATCAGGTAGTACTTTTGCTCTTTTGTTCCGTTCTACCAAAAAACTAATAATGTTTCAATCAGGTCTTTATGGTTTCTATTCGTCTCCCAAAAGTTAAATCTTACAAATGGAAGTTTAATACAATGAATGGATGTAAGTAGGTGTGTTTGTAATAGGTACTTTCACGCAAAATGGACGGACCGATTTTGTTGAAATTTCGTATGTACCTAGATAGAGAAAAAACGTGGTGGCCCAGAGGCTAAAATCGCGCTTCTCATGAATGCGGGTTCGAAACTTGCCAAGTACAAATGTGACTTTTTCCGAGTTATATGTTCTTTCTATGATTATTTATACACCATGTTTTTTTTGTGAGGGATAAATCATCCACTGACTTCTTCCGCCCAGGGT